CTTATCTCCAATTAACCAGCAAAAGCAGGACATGAAGTAGAGGTGTGACTTGAGTGGCAGAGAACCAGCCTTGAGCAAAAAAAGCTCAGGGACAATGTCCAGGCCCTGAATTCAAGCCCCAAGACTGACACAGAAAAAAGAAAGAAAAAGAAAAATGAAAAGAATGAGGTCACTGAAATGGGTTGAGTCCTTAATTTGATATGACTGATATCCTTATAAAAGGGTATATTACAGCTGGGCACTGGTGGCATAGACTTTTAATCCTAGGTACCCAGGAGGCTGAAATCTGAGGACTGTGGTTCAAAGCCAGCCCAGCAAAGAAAAGTCTCCATGATACTCTTAGCTCCAATTATCCACTCAAAAACTGGAAGTGGCACTGTGGCTCAAGTGATAGAGCACTAGCTTTGAGCACAAAGAGGCACAGGGACAGTGCTCAGGCCCTGAGTTCAAGCCCCACAATTGACAAAAAAAAAAAAAAGTGGGTATATTACACACAGATAAGCCCACAGTGGACCTGATACTTTCCTGTACCATCTTAATCTTTATCTTGAAAGATTTTTCCCTCTTACACCTGGACTCAGTGTCTATTTGGACATTGAACTTCTCACCAGCCTGGGCAGACAAATCTGAGACACTTGTCTCCAGTTAACCAGCAAAGGACTAGAAGTGGAGTAATTTTTTTTTTTTTGGGGGGGGGGGACCGGTTGTGGGGCCTGAACTCGGCCTTCGTGCTGTCCCTCAGCTCTTCAGCTCAAGGCTAGAGCTCTACCACTTGAGCCACAGCGCCACTTCCGGCTTTTTTCTTTTTGCTTATGTGGTGCTGAGAAATCGAACCCAGGGCCTCAGGCATGCAAGGCAAGCGCTCTACCACTGAGCCACCTTCCCAGCCCGAAAGTGGCGTAATTTTTAAAAACAGATTTCCTTTTTAATTAACACAAACATATTGTGCATATTGATGGAGTACAGTGTGGTAAACATGTTGCCCCAGACTTTTTTTTGTTGATCATGGGGCCTGAGCGCTGTGTCCTTCAGCTCTTCAGCACAAGGCTAGCGCTCTAAAACTTGAGCCACAGCACCACTTCCAGCTCTTTCTGCTTAAAGTGGTGCATGATGAATTGAACCAAGGGCCTCATGCACACAAGGCAAGCACTCTACCATTGAGCCATCTTCCCAGACCCTGCCCAGACTTTTGAACTTGAACTTGAGATGTTTCACGAGGCTCCACACCCATTCTACCACTAGGGGGCAGAAGAACACTTGAGAGTTTGGTGGGAGAGAGGCCCAAATCCCCAGCAGCAATGAGCTAGCTGGGAGTTAGGTGGAGTAAAGGTAGACGTCTAGTTGGAGTAGTGACCTCAGAGCAGTCCTTATGCCATCTGGAAGAGATCTGGCATTACAATTGAGTCTTGGAGAGAAAAAAAACAGGTGTCATCACGAGGAAGAAAGGAAAAACACTGTTGGCCATCATAGGCCTCTGTAGGTTGTCAGGAACAAAAGCCCAGTGCCAGCAAAAGGCCAATGTACTGAAAAGATAGAGATCGCCTTCTAGACAGAAGCAGGGAGTCCAGCCGGGCCTCACAGCAGCAAGCCTTGGCTTACAGCTCTCCTTCCTCCTCAGGATCTGTGCCCTTCCTGTCTAGGCACTTGTCTTCCCCAGCAAAGCTCTTAGCCAGGTCCCCTCTGCTGTCCAGGGGGTGGCCTTGTCACAACCCCATAGGGCACACTGTGTGGGTGTGTTCTAAGTGACTTGCATCTGGAGCATGCACCTTGAACTGCATCCCCTAGAGCACCACCTCTCATCGCCCCTGGGGTCTTGGTGCAAATTCTCAAGGAGAAGAATGTGGCTGGCTCAGTTGAGGGCTGATCGGGGGTGTTGTGTGTGAGAGCATCTGTGAGTTCGAGTAGGATGTAGGCAAATCCTCTTAGGCGGTGCCTTAGTAGTCAGGATCCTAATGAGAGCCAAAGGTTTCACCGAGCTGATGGGGACCTTGATTGGCTAGGTCTGGTTCTGGATGGAAGCCTAGAGTGGCAGTGTGATAGTCAGGTCCCCCAGCAGCCGAGGCACTGACCTCCTTTGAACGGGAAGGAGGAGACGCTGTGCATGCAAATGCAACAAATGCCCACCAGCCACCAACCCAGCCAGCTCCAGCTGCAGAGCCGGGGCCTACCCCAAAGTCCTTGTAGGACTGTCTCTTGGTAGTCGATACTGAGATCACTGCCATTCTTCCTCAGATAGTGTACAAACAGAACCATGTGTCCAGAACGCCCTTGTGCTTGTGCCTTGCCAGCTCTGTGCATTACCCATGCTTTTGGCAGGATGAGGCTGAGGAGCTAAGGCCAGGTGGAGAGAGGGTTTCCTGGATCATTTCTTTTTTTCTGGGGGGGGGGGGTCTGGTTGTGGGGCCTGAACTCGGCCTGGGTGCTGTCCCTCAGCTCTTCAGCTCAAGGCTAGCACTTTACCACTTGAGCCACAGCGCCACTTCTGGCTTTTTTCTTTTTTCTTATGTGGTGCTGAGGAATCAAACCCAGGGCCTCATGCATGCAAGGCAAGCGCTCTACCACTGAGCCACTTCCCAGCCCTCCTGGATCATTTCTAAAGCAGTGCCTGTCTCCCCAAGCCCACTCCTTGATCACTTACCTTAACTCACCCAACCACTGATGATCCTGAAAAGATCTCCAAACACACTTGAATCCCCCCACTCCATGGGATAAATGAAAAGTCAGGAATTAGATCCTGTGACATGGTTTGTGGAAGAGTGGAAGTGAACCTGGACCACTCCCCCCAACCTCCTCACCTCAACGTTCCCAAACACATTCTACCTGGGCAGGTAAAGAATTTGGCATTATCTTGCTGCCAGAGGCTCACACTTGTAATCCTAGCTACTCATAATGCTGAGATCTGCAGGACTGTAGTTTGATACTGAGCAGAAAAGTCCGTTGGACTCTACCTCCAAATTAACCAGCAAACAGCAGAGCTGGAGGCATGGCTCTAATGGCAGAGAACCAGCTAAGCAAGAAAGTCTAGCGAGTACAAGACCTTGAATTCAAACCCTGGGTACACCAGGGACAAAGTATAGTTAACTAATCTGACGATAATTGGATGTGGTTTGTGCTAGCCATACCTTCCTATCACAATGAACCCACCAGTTTTCTCTTAACTAGGCATTAGTATTTTGAGGGTGAGGAGACTAAAGCTCAAAGTCAGTATAACAGAAGTCAGCATAAAGACTCTGGTTGAGCTCTTGGTTTCTCTTATCTCTGTGATAAAGTTGGACCAGCAGAATGCCCACCTCAATTCCCACTTTCCAAGCTGGACACTTGTAGGTCACATCTGTAATCCTAGCTATTCAGATGGCTCAGACCTGTGGATTGTGGTTCACAGCCAGCCTAGGTAGGGATATCCATGAAACTCTTAGCCCTGATTAACCAACAAAAACTGCAGCTGTGGCTCAAGTGGTAGAGCGCCAGTCTTGAGACAGTGTCCAGGCCCTACAGTGTCCAGGCCCTAAGTTCAAGTCCCAGGACCAGTGTGGCATGCTCACACCCACATTCACACACACAAATCTCCTTTCTTAAGACACTGTAGCCTATGCAGGTCTTTCACTACTCCAAGGACCCCAGGAGGGCTGAGAGTGGATGAGAGGAGAAATACTGAGGAGTAAATTCTGCTCATAGGATAAAGGGACCCATGAGGGTGCATTTTTCTACGTCTTGGTGAGGCACTGGGGCTAGCAGCGGCCCTACCATCAACACAGGCTATTTCAGATTCCTTGGTTACTCTCACACCTGGCCTCTTAATCACAGCCTGTCTTGCATCGTGACCCAATTGGCTCCCAAGACAAAACTTATTCCCCAAAGTCGGCCAGCGTTTTCTCGCTGCTAGGCACTTCTCCCTTGGCTCCCAGTCCTGCTTGGAATGCCCTCCTTCTCCAAGCCGCTTCTCCCACTTCTGTGCTCCATAAAACCCATCTTTCCTTTTAAAATCCAGGCAAGAGCTGGGCGTGGCAGCTAGTGCGCATGCTGGAATCCCAGCCCTGGAGGCAAGGAGGCTCGTGAGTCGGAGGCCGGCTTGGGCTGCATCGTGAACCTCTGCTTCAAATACAAATACATTTAATTACTCCCATCCGGGCGCGGGTGGCTCACGCCTGTGATCCTAGCCACCTCAGGAGGCTGAGATCTGAGGATCGCGGTTCAAAGCCAGCCCATGAGACTCCGATCTCCAATTAATCCCCCCAAAAGCTGGAGGCAGAGCTGTGGCTCGCGCGGTGGAGCCCTAGCCTTGAGCCAAAAAGCTAAGGGACAGCGTCCAGGCCCCGGGTTCAAACCCCGGTGCTGGCACGACACAGCACCCCACGCAACACAGCCCCGGTCCCCTTTCGGCAGCAGGTTTCCACCGACGACGTGGACAGGGTCGGCAACCCGAAGTCGGCGTGGCGTCCAAAGAGTTGCGGGCACGGACTTCTGCAAACACTCCGCGAAGCCAAGCGGCCCCGGTTGGCTGCCGGGGAACAGGGCCGCGGTGCGGCGGCGGCAGGACCGGCCTCCCCCCCCCCCCCCCCCCCCCCCCCCGCCCGCCCCGGCGCTCGGGAGGGAGAGGCGGCTCCCGCCACGCCCAGCCCCGGACCGCTTGTTTATGCCCGGACTCGGCGCGCGCCCGCCGCCCGTCACGTGACCGCCCCGCCCCTCCCCTCCGCTCCCGGCTGGCTCCGCCCGCCGCGCCGGCTCTTCTTTCTGCCTCCTTCGGATCACAAGACCTCTCAGCGGCCCCCCCCCCTCCGGGATCCCTCCGCCGTCCCCGCCCCCTCCACCTAAAACCTCTTCTTGTTTCTTTTTCCGGCATTACTGCACTGCCCGTAATAAGCGCCATGTCCTGTTCCGTCGGCAGAGGCCGCCGATCTCGGTTATCTGTCCTTCGGTCAGCGGGGAGGCGGCGGCGCGCGTCCGGGACTCTTTCCCGTGGCGGAAGCCGCGCCGGCCGCGGACGCTTCACGCCGGAGGGGAGGTGCTGTGTGTCCAAGATGGCGGCGCCCTGTAGGCTGGGGAAACTGTGAGGTAAACAGCTGAGGGGGAGGAGACGGTGGGTGAGTACCGGGCCGTTCCCCCTTCCTCTTCGTGGGCGCTTCGCGGGGCCGCCCTGGCAACATGGCCCCGGCTTGGGGGGCCCCGGGGGAGGCGGGGGCAGGGGCCCGAGCCGCCGGGCAGGGGTCCGGGGAAGGGGGTTCCGCGGGCTTTCTCCTCCCCCTGCGCCTGTCTCCGGCGGGGCCGGGCCGGGGTTGGCGGGCCGGGGGGGATGGGGGGAGGCGGGCCGGGCGGGCACGTCACCCCTGCGCGGCGACCGAGGGGACGGCGCCCCCCGGGCCCCGCGGCTGAGGGCAGGGACGAGGTGGGCCCTTCGCCAGCCCCTCGCTTGTTGGGGTGACAGGGTCGCGGGGGGGGGGGGCGCGGTGCGGAGGTCAGGGGGCAGACCTGGGCCGGAGCGGGAGGACCGGGGCCGGGCGGCGGGCCGGGCGGGCCGGGCCGGGGAGGGTGGGTGAGGGGAGAATGAATGGAGGCCGCCCGCGGGCGTCGGGGCCGGTGGACTCGGTGTCTCGGCGGAAAGCGGCCCGGCCCGGGTGCCTCGCGCCCGGGACGCTCGCAGTGGACGGAGGGAGACAGTTACCGTCCAGTCAGCACCGGTGGACCTACGGGGACAGCCCTGTGCAGAGCCGCTCATTCATTCATTCATTCATTCATTCAGTCGAGGAACCGCGAGAGGAAGAGCCGGCGACCCAGAGCTTGTTAGAATTAAAGCGCTTTCTTTGTGTTGCTTCTTAGAGTTGCCTTCGTGTATTTTGGGCTTGGGATGGGGAGACTCGGCAGGGAGGGCGGTCTCCCTAACTCCTAACCGTAGCTGCGATCTGATCTGTCTCTCGTTTCTCTCTGATTTTCTCTATCTCTGTCTCTCTGTCTCCCTGCCTGCCTGTCTGTCTCTGTCTGCCTGTCTGTCTCTGTCTCTGTCTCTGTCTCTTTCTCAACTCTTTGGTTTTAGACAAAGGAAGAGGTAGCCTCCAGTCTTCTCAGATGAAGAAACTGAGACCTGGAGAAATTTGAGGTAATTTTCCCAAGGTCACACCCCCTAATCTAAGCCAGGACTGCAACTAAAGTCCTGACTGGTCCCCAGAACTTGACTCTTCCCATTTGTCTGTTATTTGATCAAAATTAGCCTGTTATTAAGTGATGATAGTCATTTGCTCTGTGTGTGTGTGTGTGTGTGTGTGTTTGTAACTTTGAAGGGGTGAACTTGGCTTATATGCTTTATGCCTTTTCTGTTCCGTTTTGGTTTGTTTTGCTTTGTTTTGAGATAGGGTCTCACCATGTAACCCAGGCTGGCCTCTAACGGTTCCTAGTCTCAGCCTTCTAGTTGTTGGGATTGCCCAGGACCTAGAATTAGGGTTGCTTCATTTTCCTTTCTAAGGTGGTGGGAATGGAAACCGGGTCGCACACGTGCTCTGTAAGTGCTTTACAGTGAATGATTACTGCACCCCCTCCAGTCCTTACCTTATGAGTTTGTTTTGGAAGAAGGCAGTGTTGAATCTGTGAATTTGTTAGTCTAAATTATGCTGCAAAGTATTTGGTATTTTTATAAAACTGGTGTGTTTACTTCAGAAAAGAAGTCCTGTTAAAATCCTTGCTGGATTTTTTTTTTTTTGAAGTAGAAAGAATGGAAGTAGTAATTTACTTTACATAGAGTAATGTGCAAAAACTGTAAAACTAGACTAATACTCTTCTGAGGTACTTTGATTTGTAACTTTGGGATCAGCCTGGAGTCATCTGAATTCAAGCAAGCTGGAGTGGTAAATTTCAGGAAGCATTATAAAATCTAATCTTCTGGGAGCCTTTGATTTACTGAGCAACCACCTGTGATTCTTAAGTTGAACATTTATGAGTAAACCTGGAATATGCAAATGTGAAAACTGATTTAAGGTTTTATAGGGAATTGTACCTTTAACAGTCATGCATCAGGCAAATGAGGCTCCTCAGAAACAGGGAGCTATTCTTTGCTATTGCCCTGGGGAGCAACAGCATCTTCCTCTAACCACCTGGTGTAAACGTAAGGAGTATTTATAGAAGATGTAAATGGAAAATATTCTCTTAGCAAAGTTAATATCTTATCCAAAACACTCTTACATCACATGCCTAGAAGGGCAGATGATGTAAGCTTTCTTTGCTTCATGCATTTTCTGGTGTCATTGACACTTGGTATATTCCTAAATTCCTAGTTAGAAAGAGGCAGTCTTGTTTGTTTTCATTACATTGAAGTGTCTCTAATCCTGTTACTCAGCTAGCTTTTGGTACTGCTACTATTTAAGTGTGATACAGTGCTTTCTGTGAATACCTAGTTTATTTGTGAGATGAAACCTGATGGCCTTATATCTGTATGTGTCATGTTTACAGAGTAGCGGAATCTCCAGAAACAAGGTATGCCAAGCTATGGTGTTCATCAGGAGTACCACACACCCAACATCTGATTATAATGTCAATTAGAGGTTGATGATCATAGGCTTAATGTATCAGTTTGGCGACTTCTTTTTCTTTTAATTTATAATTTATTGAAGAGGTGTCTCTTAAAATAACGTCCAGCTTCTGTTGTGCATAGTTGTGGTGAGTTTTGAGCTGACTTAGAGCTGACTTGATCTTACAGTTCCATCTTCTTTCAAAGTTTTTGAGATTGCAGATGTTTGTCTCTGTGTTCCAGTGTCACAATGAACAAAAATTAGTTTCTCCTAGAATTAATTGAATAATTTTGAATGCCAGTGAACTGAATACAGCAATGCACCAGCCATTTCAAGCTTTTTTTTTTTTTTTTGGTTTAGTTGTGGGCCTGAACTCTGGGTCTGGGTGCTGTCCCTTAGCCATTCAGCTCAAGGTTAGCACTTGAGCCACAGCCCCACTTCCGGCTTTTTTCTTTTTGCTTATGTGGTGCTGAGGAATCGAACCCAGGGCCTCATGCATGCAAGGCAAGCGCTCTACCACTGAGCCACCTTCCCAGCCCCCCCTTTTTTTTTTGCCAGTCCTGGGACTTGAACTCAGGACCTGGGTACTGTCCCTGAGCTGCTTTTGCTCTACCCTTGAGCCACAGTGCCACTTCTGGCTTTTTCTGAGTAGTATATTGGAGATAAGAGTCTCACAAAATTTGCTTTCCAGGATGGCTTCAAATCGCAATCCTTGGATCTCAGCTTCCTGAGTAGCTAGGATGACAGGTATGAGCCACTAGAACCTAGCCTTTTCAAACTTTTTTAAGGAGTCAGAAAGCTTTTTGCCTTTTGCAAATCACCCAGGTTCTCTGAGCCTCAGTTTCTTCATCACTGAACTAAAAGAGTTGGATTGAGTGCTGGGAATGTGACTTAGTAGTAGAGTGCTAATATGCCTAATATACATGAAGTTCTGGGTTTGATTCCTTAGTATCATATAAACAGAAAAAGCTGGAGGTGGTAGTGCGGCCCAAGTGATAGAGTACTAGCCTTGAGCAAAAGAAGCTCAGGGACAGTGCCCAGGCCTTGAGTTCAAGCCCCAGGGCTGGCAAAAAACCAACAAAAAAAAGTTGGATTGTGAGTTAATGAGAATGAGTATTTCTGAGTTTAAATCCCTCTTGGGCTTTAAACATTCTAAATTCATTGCCTCAAAAATATTATTGTTTTTGCTGGGCACCGGTGGCTCATGCCTGTAATCCTAGCTACTCAGGAGGCTGAGATCTGAGGATCACGGTTCAAAGCCAGCCCAGGCAGGAAAGTCTGTGAAACTCTTTTCTCCAATAAGCCACTAGAAAACCAGAAGTGATGCTGTGGCTCAAGCGGTAGAGTGCTTGCCTTGAGCTGAAGAGCACAGGGACGGCACCCAAGCCCAAAGTTCAAGCCCCACAACTGAAAAAAAAAAAAGTATTATTGTTTTTGTAATCACTAAGCATATTGGCTTACCTGATAGAGTGAAGACAGTTTATTCTTATAGTATTTTAAAAAAGTAACTCTAGGGGCTGGGAAGATGGCTCAGTGGTAGAGCACTTGCCTTGCATACCTGAGGCCCTGGGTTCGATTCCTCAGAACCACATAAGCAAAAAAGAAAAAAGCTGGAAGTGGCGGTTGGCTCAGGTGATAGCATGCTAGCCTTAAGCTGAAGAGCTGAGGGACAGCGCCCAGGCCCAGAGTTCAGGCCTCATAACTGGACCCCCCCCCCCAAAAAAAAAGTAACTCTAAGTTTTCCATATTATAAATTCTCTTTGAAAGATTAGTTTTGTTTGTAATAGTTGTCATTTAAGTAGTTATAGGAATGAAAGAAAGGTATACTCAATAACATTCAAATTTGTACTTTGTCATTACATAAACAAGTATATTCACTCGGTTTTTAAATCTCGATTATTATTTGATAACTACATAATATAATTTGGTTTGCATGAGATATTCATGCTTTTTCTATAAGCAACTTGAGATTATTCTCTGATTTCCTTCTGGAGCCTATGATTACTAAAGTTGGTAATTTAATAACTATTTTAATGGGAAAGAATAAAAATTCATATTGCACGCCCATGTATGTGTAACATTATCTCAGTACCTTGTCAGTTTCTTCTCTTGTGTCGTTCTAACTGCTAATTTTTGTTGTATACAGAGAAATATCATAGGTAACAGAATACTTCTTCAAGTTGAATGAGTTCAGATTGACATCGACTGACAGCTTTAATCCCAAACAAGGAGTGGTAGTTAGTGGCCTACAGCTCACAGGTCACTTCGTAAAGTAAATATAATGGTTGTTGAGGCCATGATGTATGTGAGATGATGTGTGTGAGTAACAAAGGGCAACCTTAACCTTGCTTTGTGTTGTTGGTGTGATAGAAGGGTATGGTGGGTAGTGATGAGAACAGATGTCCTTCCTGCCTGCAGTCATTAGGACCTGTGCTTATCCTTCCCAGAGCAAAGTAACAAACTAGAAGTGTATCCATTTTAAGTTGTAAAACGGTTTAGTCAGTGTTTCAAATACCAGCTATTAAATGGCTAGACTGCTAAGCATTATGTATCCAGCAGCATCTTGTTCAGTAGTAATATTTTTTATG